AAAAAAAAAAAAGAGGCCAGGAGCAGTGGCTCAGGCCTGTAATCCCAGCACTTTGGGAGGCTGAGGTAGGTGGATCACAAGGTCAAGAGATCGAGACTATCTTGGCCAACGTGGTGAAACACCATCTCTATAAGTAAATAAATAAGAAGAAATGAGACTTAATTTCCTAATTTATGGCAGGAAGACCCGGCTTTCCCTCTCCTTCCTCACCTCATGATGGGAATAGTTGAGAATAAAGGAAAAGATTGGGGTCACTTGATCTAAGTTTGATGAGTGAGAGAAACTGTCCCTGCGTCTGGGCAGAGGGCATCTCCTGGGAACTCATGTTCTTGGGCATCCCATCTCTCCCTTGATTCAGCTGGCCATGCACAGGCATTTTTGTTCTCCTGAGCCCCAATTCTAGATGGGTTAATGCTGTGATTCAGCTGCAATCTAGTCTCAGCCCTCCTGAGTTTGGGAGACACCCTGTCTCTCCCCTGCTCCCTGCCCCACGCCTATCCTGCACCTCGAGGGCAAGGGTAGCAGGGCCTGTGGAAGCTGAGGCACCTCACCTGCCTGGCATTTGCCGGCACCCAAACAGCTGGGTGTGCAGAAGGAAGAATGAGGAGCCTTGGCAGCTGCCAAGCTATCCGGCAGGGGAGGGAAGGTGGCCAGGTGCAGCCGAAACAGGGTGCGGTGACTGGTCTGGGAGCTCAGAGGCCTGCCCAGACATCTGGCTGGGTCAGGAGGGCCAGGTGTGCCGAGAAGTGTGGGCTGCCCCGAAGCACAGGCTACTGAGTGCCTCGTGAGCTCAGGATTTGGTGAGCGCCTGAGCGGAGGAGGGGATGGTTGGTTGGAAACTTCAGATTCATTATCTGTAAAACGTGGATAAATAGGGTGGTCAGGGCACAAAAATGATTTAAAAAAAAAAGAAAATTAAATGACTTAATACGTATAGGGTACATAGCACAGTTCTAGTAAGTTCTCCAAAGTCCCAGGTATGATTATGATGAGTCCAGCACATAGGGTAGGGCAGGTTCCATGTCTGATTCATCTGTCATCCTCCACATAGCTACAAAAACAAGACAGAATCAGGACAGCAACAAAAGTCATCTCCCTCCAGTCCTCGTGAAACCCTATGAGGCAAATACCATTATTGAGCCCATTTTGCAGATGGGCAGACAGGTATGGTGAGGCCACTATAATCAGCTAATGCTGAGCCATGAAGCAGCTGCCCCACAGAGGACCCGGCCCATATTCTGGCTGAGGCAAAGGTGGTTCCTCCACCGGGCTTCCTCCCTCCACCCTCTCCCACCCTCTCCCACCACCTATCACTGGGTCTCAGAAGCCTGCTGAGGCAGATGAGGAAACAAGGAACTGAGAGGTGACAGGCAGAGCCAGGGGCAGGTATTCTTCCCTCCAAGTGGTCTCCCCAGGCGGCCTCCACCAGACCCTGCCCTCATTCCTGAGCCCACTTCCCTCTCTACCCCTCCACTTCTTCCTCCCTTCCTATTCGGTCATCTAGGCCTCTTTCCCTCCAGGAAGTCTTCCCTCAGCAGCCTCCCTGTCAGGGGAGTGCTCTATGGTGAACTCTCACTCTGGGCATCTATGGAAGTGAGTAAATGGAGCCCCTTCCTTCTCCACATGACTTTGGTGAACCACAGACAGTCTGGGAGATACTCCCCAAAGGTGTTGGCCAAAGCCAAGAGACAACTAAAACAACTATTGATATCTACAGGAAACTTCCTCCAACAGCTTGTTTTCATACAGGGTATCACCCTGTTGCCCAGGCTGGCCCATAGTGGCATGGTCTTGGCTCACTGCAGCCTCGACCTCCCCAAACTCAGGTGATCCTCCCACCTCAGCCTCCCAAAGTGCTGGCCAGGAGATTGCTTGAGCTCAGGAGTTTGAG